GGACGGGGAGGTGCAAAACGCTGTTCCAAAAAAAAAAAAAAAAGTGCTTGCCAGCTCTCTTCCAGCAAAGCCAGGCCGCACACACCTCCTGGGAACCTCTTCCCAGGTTGGACCTAGGGCCCCCTCTCACTGGGTGGGTGGGCAGCCTGGGTCACCACTGTGCTCGGGGCTCCCGGCCCACCAGCAGCCTGGGGGAGGGGACGTGGTGTGCTCCACTGGCCAGGCTCCAGCAGCAGGCGGGCACGCACATCCACTGGTCACTGGGGCTCGGCCACCACCCTAAGCACTGTCCGACCTGTCTAGTGACAAATACACCTGCCCCACAGAGGGGCAGAACCACCAGATTCCAGGGCTCCTTGAGATAATGCCAGCAGCCGTGCCCTCCTGCAGTTACCTGAACCTCATTCCATCCCTTGGGAATGTGGCTAGGGCCCCCCACTCCACGGAGGAGACAGCGGTCCCTCTCAGGAGGGGACGGCCTTCTGAGGGGTCACACACAGTACAACTAACCCAACCCTCTGAGCCTTGGTTTCCCTGTCCGTCAGAGTGACAGAAGCCAGGCTGCCCAGCAGGGGCCTTAGGAAGGAGGACACTGACCGTGCAGAATGTGCTTGATGCCTGCTAGGTGTGCAGTCCTATGGCACCATCACCCACCCAACCCGGTCACTCCCAGGGGGTGGGGACCACAGCCACCCTGGTTACCACGCTTCCACCAAGGCCTGAGGCTTCCGGGCCAGCCCGCTTGCCACTGTGCACCTGGCCCTCCTTCCTGGGCAGCCAGCCTCCCATTACCCCACCCAGCCCAGATGCAGGGTCACGAGGGAAGCCTGGAAGGCTTTTTGGAACGCAGGGTCTGACGCCCGGCCAGGCAACGCAGGCTGCGCAGGCGCACCCTGGGTCAGAGGCGGCCCAGGGCTTGCAGGAGGCTCTTGCGGGCCTTCCCTGGTCTCCCCTGATGCCCAGCTCCCCCGGGGCCCCGAGTAGGGCACTGCCTTTCAATGTTTGTAACCAGTACAGGGAAGCATTCGTCATCCCTGGGGACAGGGGCCTGGCCCGAGTGACCCAGCAGGTGAGCATCAGCTCTGACTGAAGCCCCCAGTTCTCGGCGGTCCCTCTGGCACCAGGTCCTTGGCCACCTGTGCAGCGGGGCCACTCCTTGTCACTTCCCACCCGGACTTGGGGGCTCAGCCCAGGCTGACCTGGATTCCCAGGTGTGGCCTGAGTCACCGGCCTTGAGGCCATTTTTAGACACTGGTTTTCCCCGCCTGCCAGCCCGGCAGCTCAAATGCCAGCTCCCCTCCTTTTGCCACCCCTGGAGGGTGCCAGATCCCAGGCACGGCTGGGGAGGGGCGAGGGGGCCGCCCAGGTGCTGAGGCCTGTCTCACCTTGACGGCATACTCCTGGCTGGTGATGAGGTTGACGCAGGTCTGCACGCGGGCGTGGGCACCCTCCCCAAGCACGTCCTCCTGCAGCTGGTAGACGTCTGCAGAGCAGGGGGCCGGTGAGAGCCACCCTGGGCCGGCCCATCTCCCCGACACCGCTGCCCCCGCCGGCCCCACTCACCTTCAAACCTGCCCGAAAAGCTGTCAGTGGCCCGGCACCTCTTCTTCTTCTTGCCCCTTTTCTTGGCGTCGGGGATGTCGATGGGCTGGCTTGCAGGCATATCTGTGCAGGGGGAGCCGGAGGTGAGGCCCGCCTGGCTCAGGAGGTGGCCCAGCCCTCCGCCACCGCCAGAGGCTTGCCCTCCCCCCCAGCCCCTCACCAGGACGGGCCGGGCACTCCAGAACGAAGTCAGGCTCCCCGTGGTGGGCCGGGTCTAGAGAGAAGGCCAGCTCGAAAGGATTCTGCCCCTGCAGAAGAGGAGAGGACAGAGCTCAGGCCCCAGCCCTGCGGGGCAGCTGCACCCAGAGTGCCCCAGTCTCCACGTCTGCACGCTGCGGAGCAGAAACCCTGGCTCTGCCTGACCACAAGGAAATGGACCTTTCACCCCCAGCCCAGGGCCCTCGGGGCCTCTGGGGAGGGGGTGTGGTATGGGAAGAGGCCAGACGAAGGCAGGGGAGGGGGTACCGCCTCCCAGGCCAGGCCTGAGTCGCCGTGGGGCACCAGGCCACGTTTTGAGCCTTGGTTTGCTCACCTGCAGGATGGAGCCAGCACCACAGCCTGGCTGACTGCCCTCGCCCCTGCCGCGCCCCTGCGGGCGAGTGGGAGGGAGTGAGTCAGCGGCTTCCCGGGGCAGGGCTCCCAGCCAGGCAGCCCTGCCTGCTTTCCCATGGCTTCCTGGTCTCAGTCTCCCCTCTGTGGAATGGGGCACCACTGCCCTCCTTGCCTCTCTGTCTGCTCATCCCCGCTGCACCTCCCAGCCCGAGACGATTCCCGCCACCACACCTCTGCTCCTGATGCGCCCACAATGCACCCTGTCCCCCAGCTCTGCGCCTCCTCTCCTGGTCCGACCCCCCTCGCTCGTCTGCTTCCAGCTCCGCTCTGCTGGGACCTGGCTCCGGGGTATCACGGGAAAGGCACCCGCGGTCTCCCGCGTGAGCACTGGGCCGCTCCCTCGCCCAGCCACAGCCGCACTGTCCCGTGTACCCCCAGACACCCCAGGATGGAGCCCCTCACAGGCCACGGTGCCCAGCTAAGGAAACAGCCCTTGAGCAGGGAGGGGCCTGCTCAAGGTCACCTGACGGCCCCCGGGACTGGAGGGTGTGTGTGGGATCCTAACAAGGGAACGAAGGCAGCCGGGGTTCCTCCAATTTCTGCGGATCCAGCGTGAGGACTGGCAGCCCCCGGCAACGCACGAGGCTGAGGCTTTAAGGCTGGGGCTCTGAGGCCCCACCGTGTTTCTCTAGGAGTTTGCTCTCATTTAGCTCCCCAAATCCTGGGGGTCCAGGTGGCCAGGGCTTCAGGTGGGCGTGGGGGCCCTGTACACACGGCAGTGGCGCCAGCTCTGATGCTGGAGGACCTGGATCAAGTCACTGCCTCTCTCTGGGCCTTGGGACAAGGGGAAGCAGGGCTCCAGCAGGAGGGCCATCTGGCAGAGAAGGAACTCCGGGAGAGCCCCAGGGAGATACCCAGGGACCTAACAGCAGAAGGGGCCAGGCCAGATTCCTGCAGATGGGAGGCCCGGAAGCCAGTCCGGCAGCACAGGGGCAGGCAGAGGTCACAGGGAGCCGCTGAAAAACAGGCGTGGGCCCTCCCGGCCTCGCCACCCACCCGCCCTGCAGATAGTTGCTAGGAGGCCCAGCGGGCGGGGGAGGGGAGGAAGGCGGCGCTCCAGCCAGTCGGCGGCGCAGGATCATCCACCAGCACCTGCCTCTGCCCGCCCAGGGGTCCGGCACCCACGGGGAGCCAGGCACTCGGCTGTGCCAGCACCGGCAGTCAGCGCTCTGAGAAGGCTCAGTCCAGGGGTGTCTGGAGGTGCCAGGTGACTCCCTCCTCCCAGGAGGAGGGGCCCCAGGGTGGCTACGTGGGGGTGATCAGGAGGGAGGGTGGACGTGAGGCTCGGGGCCAGCGGTGGCCCTCGCCAGCTACTTCACCTCAGCCTAGTGACCTCAGTTCCGGGCCTGACCAGCACCCAGGGGTCACTCGAAAGGACCACGTAAGGGCATGAGGACCTCAGGGGGCCTGTCACCGACCCCACACCCCTGTGCCAGCCTCCAATGCAAAGAGCTGGACCCTAGAGAGAAGGGGCGGCCAAGCCACCAAGGTGAAGGGACACTAGCCATGCCAGCTCCTGTGTCCCTGTCACCACGTGCGGGGGGTGCTAAGACAAATGCCCACGCTGTCCAAGGCTCCACTCTCCCATGTGGAAATGGGGAAAAATACATCAGAGACACCTGGCAGACGCTGCTGCCAGGCTGAGGGGAGGGAGGTGGCTGCGGCCCGAGGAAGCTTGGGGTGCAGCGGGAGGAGACACGTAGTGAGGCCGGCCTCTGGCCACCAGGAGAGCCACCTCAGAGCCAGCTCTCCCAGCCCAGTGTCCCTCCAACTCCCTCAGGACTCCCACATTCCCACCTCAGCGGTGGGCTCTCGCACGGCCTGCAGAGGCCAACCCATAGTACCAGGCAGTGTTGCCAGGCCAGGCCCAGGGCTGGCTGTGGGCCTCCAGTCAGCAGGCCTTGGCAGGAGGTGGCTGGAACCATCCAGAAAGTTCGACTTTGCTTTGGCCACTGTGCCGGCCCCACGCGCTGACCCCATCTCGGCTCCCACCCAGCCCCCAGAGGGGACAGACCACCACCAGTGACGTCTCAAGTCCACCCTGCTCCCGCCCTGCCCTGAACACTTGGACGTGCCAAGGCTGTGGCTGCCCTGGGGGGAGAAGCCAGGATGACAGGCGTGTGGGCAGGGGTGGGGCGCTGGCCCAGGACGCTGGCTGGACAGGCCTGGGAATTTTAACCCAAACAGTCTCAGCTCGCTCCTCCCACCCTGGTGTGCAGTTCGCCTGTAGGCGCACGCGTACTCACACACTCACACATGCACATACACCCAGGTCTTGCCTTCTCTAGAGGGCAACAGGTTCTTGCCCAAGAAGGCCCAGGGAAGCCATTACATAACGCGGCCAGTGGGGTGGGGTGGCCGCTGACATCACTGTGTCCCCTGGGCCAGGCCCTGTGGGGTCCCTCCCTAGCACCTGCCTGCCCCCCCCCCCCCCCCCCCCCCCCTATCCCACCCCTCCAGGTGGTCACAAAGCACCGAGCTGATCTCCCTGTGCTATGTCAATTTTTGAATTGGACGTTGAACGTAGGAACATATGACTCTCCCAAGATAACATAATGAACACAACAATTGGACTAAATCCAGGTCTCCTAAACCAGCACTTGATCCATGTATAGTACTTTATTTTGAAAAGAAACACAGCCATGGGGCCCGCCGCAGAAACTTCCTGCTCCGACAGGAAATAGCCTTGGGCCTGGGGTGTCTGGGAGGTGCTGGGCTGGGAGGGCATCCAGTCCACTGCCCCATTCTGCAGACCACCCAGGAGGGTGTAGGGGAGGCCTGCAGCCCTGCCTGGGGTTCCAGAAGGAAGGGCCCCGCAGATCCCCGCAGGCCCCATGACGCTGGGGACCGGACTGTGGCCTGCTGACAGTCCCCAGCAGTGCACACTGGGCTGGGCTCTGCAGGGGACACACAGCCAGGGGCCCCCACGGGCAGGATGCCCCTCAGTCCTGCCCGGGGTTCCTGGAGGAAAGACCCCAGAGGCCCCAGGGCGCTAAGGACTGACTGTGGCCTACTGAACTCCCCCCTGCTCACCATACCAGCACATGCCTGGCTCGGGTCGGCAGGGGATACATATGTAGGAGTCCCCAGCCCTGTTTGGGGCTTCTAGAAGAAAGACCCGACAGGTACCAGGGTGCTTGAGATTGGACTGTGGCCTGCTGACACCGCCCCCCCGCCCCCACGACAATGCACACCAGGCTGGGGCAGCTCCAGGCGAAGGGTGGGGAGCTGGCACGAGCCCCGGTGGGTATCCTGGGGGGCGGGCTCCGCGTCCCGCCACCGGCCACTCGGGTGGTCCAGCCCGGGGCGGCCCCAAGACGACCCGGCCCTCACCTTGAAGGAACGGTGGAAGCCCTGAAGTTCGGCTGTTTTCTTCTGCACCATCTTCTGTCCGGGCCCCGCCAGCGGGGGAGGGGACGCGGGGCCCGGGGGGCGGCCCGTGGGCTGGGGGGCGGCCGGTGAGGGGACCCTGTGGGCGGGAGCAGACAAAGGAGGGCGTTGAGTGGCCGCGGCCGGCGCGCCGGGAGCCCGGGCCAGGGCGGCGAGGCTCCGTGGGGCCCGCTCCCCGCGTCCGGGTCGGGGTCGGGCCGGGGTCGCAGGGCCACACTCACCGGGGTCGGGCTCGGGCCGGGGCCGCAGTGCCGCCGCCCGAGACGCGCAGCCCGGAGCCCGCTGCGCGGACCGCGCGGGGAACAGCGCCGCCGCCGCCGCCGCCGCCGCCGCCGCCGCCACCGCGGACTCCTCCGCCAAGGCCGCCACCGCCGAGAGGAGCCGGGCGGGTCGCGTCGCCGCCACCTTTATAGGCCAGGCTCGCCCCGCCCCGCCCCGCCCCCCTCCCCCCCCCCCCCC